TATGAAACTGTCCCAATGTATCTGAGGTCAAAGGTCAGGCTGAGGCATTATTACACAGTTAGTACCCTGATAATCTTGCCAGTCTGTTCCTCCACGAACATCTGCCACACTCTCTACTATTGAGGCTTCTTCTCTAAGGAAAACCCCAAGAGCTGCCCCTTTTGTGAGGTCTCCCGTCAGCTTCTCCCTCGGGAGAGCTCGCTTCCTATTTGTGCTCTCTGTGTACCACAGCAATAACTTTTGGTACCCAGACCTCTGCACATCTCAAGTCTTACTTCCAGTGCGATAGCAATTTCCTCATTTTATGGGCTAGAAAGTCAGGGCTCGCAAGAAACCATGTGCTTAGAAAGCTTTAACTCGAGAATCGGGATCCCCGTTCTATGAATTAGTGATACTCACGTGATTGTTGTCCCCCGTCCCAGTGTGTTTCCTCGTGGGTCAGCAATTACAGAGAATTCATTGGAGTCTGATTCCCAGATGTGCTGGGTATCGTTGTTGTGTTTTGATGTCACAATGACCTTATCTGCTACAAGGAAGGCAGAATAAAAACCCACACCAAACTGGCCAATCAGTTCAGAAGTGGACTGGCCATCTTCTTGTGCCTCTGTCATTTTGTTTAGAAACTCGCTTGTTCCAGATTTGGCTATGGTGCCAAGGTTTTTAACCAACTCTTCTCTGGTCATTCCTACACCAGTGTCTGTGACATGCAGCAGGTTCTTCTCTTTATCACACTAAAGCAAGAAAAGAACCAGAAAATCAGGCTCCTTAAAATTCACATCATGCCAATGCCAGGCTCTCATGGAGAAATTACCAGCTTGGTCTCAATCAACTTTGGATAGAGATGTGCCACTTCATAGTCTATGACATTTTTCAAAAATACATCCTAAAAGTACATTTCTTTACATTTTTAAGCATAGTGTGTTTAGGAAAAATAGGCAGAGACTTGTTTAAATGTCAGAGAACAGATACTAATCCAAATCAAACATTTTGAGGATAAAATCCCAGAAAAACTATTTCACAGAAAACAAAAGGACTAAATTTGAATGATGCCTGATTTAGGGATTTGTGATGATCAATGTTCTTCATTAAATAGTCCTGGCTGTCCCCAGGAGCCTAGCAGGACTGTGCATGCATCCATCCATTCACTGGCCATGTGATCATTTCTGCCCAGTCAAGTAGCAAGTGGGAGTGGAGTGTGACTTTCAGGCTGAGGCTTTAATTGATGTGCGACCCTGTGCACCGTGGCAACCAGATCTAGATACTCCAGATGGCTGCTCAGTCAGCCTGTGGAATGACTAAGTCTAGGACTTGGCTGCCTTCTCCTAAAGGGCCAGGTAGTATCCATTTTTGTTTTAGGAGGCATAAGGCCCTGTTACAATGATCACTGCCATCGCAGACTGTACTCCAATACATCTAATAAGAATAGGCAACGTCAGATTTGTCCCACAAGCAGCCCTAAGACTTCCCATCAAACCCACCGCATCCAACTGATGGAGAGTCTGGCTGCTGAGCATCCTCTTTAAAAAGGAAACAGTAGAAGGTAAGCTTACCTTAATCTTGACTGTTAACTCTTCATTTCCTGCAAGTGCGTTCTCATCAGTCAGGGAGATGAGCCTAATCTTGTCTAAAGCATCAGAAGCATTTGAAATCAGTTCTCTCAGGAAAATCTAGAAGTCAGATAACACTGAGATTAACCCTCTGGCACAGTAATTTGTTGGCTTCCATGCCAAAGTTCTCATTTCTCCTCTAAAACATGCAAAGACAAACTCTTTATGGTACAAGGATGGTTTCACTGTCTTCATAAAAAGTCAGTGTGGCTCTCTATAAAAAGGACTGCGGCAACTACAAGGGCTACCTGAACAGGTGAGAACAGGAGCACGCTCCTCCCACCCTCCATCGCTACTCCTACACCTCAGAGCTCGGCCTGTGTGACTGCCCCTGAGGCAGCAGGTCTAACCTTACTCTGAGCTAGAAGGCAAGACTGGGAAAGCACCTAATAACCGTCTCCCCTAAACAGTAGCAATTCTTATTCATTCCTATGGCGTATTTGAGCTTTACAATCACCATGCACTTAAATCTTCACAATCCACTAAGAAAGGCTGCAAGCGCGACCACAGGGATACAAACTGCTGTCCTAAGCCTGTGACACCCACCTCTTTATTTTTGTACAGCGAATTGATGATCAGTTTCATCATCCTGTTAACTTCAGCTTGGAAGGCAAACTTCTCAGACTTCTCTCTAAGTTCTCTGATCTGGGATGCATTTAACCCGTCCAGCTGAATAGCTTCTTCCTCCCTAAGGAAATCAAAGCAGATAAGCAAACACTTAGCGTTCATTCTTAAGAGAGTCTCCAGTCAGGACATAGTGGCCTCTGAAGATTGTCTCGCTAAAGGGTGAAATGTAAGCCTTTATAAAATGTCACTAACGTAACAGCTCATTTTTATGACAGTAATGGGTTGTTCAACACTCGGTTGGAAATAGTTGTTAAAATTCCCAGGAAAATAAACCCAGCTATCCTTTACTAAGAAGCAAGTTTCTCATATATGCCTGCCCTCAGTGAGTATTTTACAGTACAGTCACTAATCCCTAAGAGGTCAAAATTTAAAATACTGTTTCCATTGTAGAACGTGTATTTCAAAGCTACTGGCCTAAGTCCTGTTTTTTTTTCTTTTGGTATTACTAACTTCAAACAAACGAACTAAGCCAATGTCAAGTCCTCTGTCGGTTTCTAGAGAGTTCCCAGTACGAGCTGTATAGCCCGCAGTATCCAGACCAGCTTTCTATTTTCAGATGCTAGGCTTCTCCCCAGCACCTCACTCCGCTTTCCTCCTTGACTCATAGCGGCAGGCTAAGAATCAGGAGAGACTTCTGTAGGCAGATAACTGGGTACTCGGAAAAATTCCTGATTACTTTGTATCACTGGCAACTGGCTGTTGCCCAGTCTGGAGAAAAGCAGCCCATGTCCCACAGACTTCTAGGGCTTATCATCAACAGTTTCAAGTGCACCGACCTCTGCACGACTTCATCATCTGTCCTTGAGCCTTCTCGGCTTTTACCCAGGTCCTCTTCCACCGTCCCATCAACATCGACTTCATCATCAGCTCTAACGAACCCTGAGGAAGGAGGTTAAATTAAACACTCTCAAACACTACTGCTTCCTCTCCTCCGTTCAAAGAACAAGACCAAACGGGGCAAGAGTTAAAGTTAACAAAATTCAACAAGATGTGGGGATGTACTGATTTTAATAACCAGTGTCAAGCCCAGTTAGTGCTCTGAAGTTTAAATGTAAATACTCAAGACCCCCAGGAGACTCGGGAAGACCAAGCAGTTAATACTTGTGTCCAGCGGTCCTCCGAAACGAGGCAGTGAGTGACACAGACCCCATCGACACCCACACGTGTTGCACACAGCGTGGAGGCCTCTACACTGGCTAAGCTGAACCGTGGGCCTCCCTTAGTTATCATAGGTCAGAATGCAAGCAGGGTTTGTGCAACTTCTGGAGAGGGGAACCGAAATCTGGCCCCAGAGGGAAGAAGACGTGTCAAGGACTGCACTTCTAGCACATTGGGATCGGACTCGAGGCCACACGCTGGCCTGAGGCACCACGTTTGCAAACCCTGCGCCGGGAAACGGAAACACACTTCCGAAGAATCGGAGGGCAGGGACCGGGGGTCCTCAGGATGGGGTGGTCAAAGGTCGGATCTGATGACAAAAGTCTTTAGGGAGGGGCCCGCGCAAGGCTACCCCGAGAGGAGAGTCCGAGAGGCCGCGCCCCGCCAGGGAGACTTCGGGGAGCGCTCCAGCTCCTTCCGCAAGGCATTTAAATGCCCCGGCTCCGAGTGGCCTCTTCCTAGAAGTCTCGGGGCAAGCATCATCACCACCAGAGTCTCCTCAGAAGAAGGTAGACGTCCCCCTCCCAGGCTCAACGCCCCCAGAACGTTCGAGAAGCGGTCGCGCCGAAGGTGGGGGGGGGCACCCGCTGATGCCCGATCACTCACCGAAGGTCAGCAGGACGCAGCAGAGGCCCAACACCCACAGGACCCTCATGGTGCGCCGACGGAGAGTCACAAGTCCTCTTCGGTCGCAGGAGCCGCCTCCGCCCCCCCACCCCGAGTCCTCAGGTCCTCACACCTCTAGCCGCGCGGCCGATCCGCCCACTAAACCGCGCGCAGGTCGGGCCGCTTTTTCACCCCGCTGCTTGCGGGCGGGGGACGGGAAACACGAACACGCCAATCGTGCCTCACCACGCACTCTCGGCACCCAATGAGGACACGCGGGGGGAGTCCCAGCCCACCAATCGGAACTGTCCAGGTGCGGTGTCCGATGCCCGAAGCGTGGCTCCTTCCGATTGGGCTCGGCCAGCAGCTTTTCTCCAATCGGATGGCTCCGCGGGCCCCTCACACACCGGGCCACCCCTTGGCCTAGGAAGCCTTGGCCTCCGAGGAAAACCGTCCAATGAACGTAAGCGCAGAGCACGTCTGTCCTTTCCTAGAGGTCCCGGGGAACCACTTCCGGCTCCTACAGAACGTTTATTCCGTGACTAGGGGAAACGGTAGCCAAGACAACGCGTTTTTATCCTTTTCCCGTCTGCGACGGGGGTCACGTTGGGAGCCATTTCAGTCCTACGTTCGCCGTCACCTCTCAGTTCGGCGTTGCTTTTCGAAATAGAGGAATATGTAGGGGGTTGAATACCCTCCCGGGTGCGTTTGGATGGTGGGGAGAAACTACAGTTCCCGGCATGCAACGCGCTAGGCTTATGAATGTTGGGAATCGTAGTCTTTGGCATCTAAACCAGTTTGGCGTAGTTTGGTCTTTTCGCACTCTCCTGTCTCGTGTCTGCGGGGAATTGTGTGCTCAGTCATCTAGGACTTCCATCTCATTGCAGATTAGGTCTGTGCTTGCTCCAGGACTCCAATGCACACAATCTTCAGAGGCGGACCTGGAAAGCTGCCCCACGTGGCCCCAGCCAGAGGGCCAGCCCTGAATTCTGGGCTCCGCCTCTGGCCGATGGTGGCACGCGGGTTTCCAGGTCGGCCTTCCAGTGCGTCACTCCGGGCTCCTGGAGCCTTCAGCTCCACCTGGCGTTTCGCTGTCCGCATCTCCTGATCTTTCTGGCTTGGTTTGCAGTAGAGGATGACCGGGTTTCCCAATCCCGACGAGGGAAACTTTAAGGTCTCAAGTTCCTTTGACATCCCCATAAATACCAAGGAACGACCTGGAAATCCCACAGCCTCTCCACGAATCAGCTGCACCCGCGCGCTGGTGAAGTCCAGGCTAGCACAGAACAGGAAAGGGCATTTGCTGATACTTGAGAGCAAAAGCCGCAGGGCTTACAAATAGCCTGGACCGTGGCTTTGAAACTTCGTAGAAACACCTTTCCGCCTTCCGAAAGACAGCAAAGGGGCTCTTTCTGGTGAGGGAAGTTCCTAACGCCAGCTTAGCTTGTGTATTCTGAAATGTTTTCTAAACTCTTTAGACTTATTTTAACAAATTTTCCACCAGCACTTGTGTCTCTGACACACCTGCTCCATCACCGCTTCCTCCAAGAAAACTGGAGTTGTTTTCTGAGCATCCAAATTCCTGAAGGCAGGCTTTCCAGTGGCAGTGACCCTTTGACAGCTTCCGGAATTCAGACTTGCTGATCTTGAATCTGTGGTTTGGTGTTTACATAATGTGGTGATGCCTTATTTACATCTGCCTGATTTACCTACCTTTACCGAAGCTCAGGGAAGCCTAAGACGCTTACACACACCAGGATCTTATTTCTTTCTGTTTTCAGAAAAAGATGTCCGTTTCTGCGTTTGACAGCCCAACATCACCTTACTTTTTTTTTTTTTTTAATGGAGCAAGTAAGCATCTGTTCTGAAACTGCAGACAGATACATCTTAACTGGCCAGTGGGGGCTGGGGGCAGATTGGGGCTGCACCTGGGAGGAACTGAGAATGAGATTTGTCCTCCAAAATAAAACTGCTGTTTGTGGGGAGAAGTTTCTGCAGATGATGGTCGAGAGAGAGAGAGAGAGAGAGAGAGAGAGAGAGAGAGAGAGAGAGCACCAGAAGAGGTGGTCGGCCCTCATCTGACTCAACTTTGCTCTTTTGATCCTTTGAGCTTGCTGGCTGAGTTCCGTGTAAAATAAATGGGCATCTGAGGAGAGGCTCAGCAGATAAAATGATTGCCCCACTTGCACTATGACCTGAGTTAGGATTCTCAGTCCTTACATAATGGTCTGACGCTGGTCTGTAGCCCCAGTGCTGGGGGTGGGGTGGTGAAGGTAGGGACAGAGCTCTCCAGCCAGACAACTTAGTAAAAGACTCCGGGTTCAATGAGAGGATAGAGGAACACACACACACACACACACACACACACACACACACACACACACACACACACAGAGTTTCTGGGGTTCCTAGTGAGTTTTTCTCGTGTCTGTTTTTCTGACTTTTGTCCTCTGACTGATCTCTAGTTTCAATTTTGTTCTGTCTTTCCCCCAGCGCCATATTGGATGAGGTTTTTAAGCTCCTTATCTTTGGATCTGATTCTCTTGCTTCCTAGTGAGCCACCCTGTGGGTGCTGGGAACTGAACCCTGGTCCTCTTCACGAGCAAGTGTTCTCTTATCCACGGAGCTATCTCTCTGTGTGGCCGTGGCTGTCCTGGATCTCACTGTGTAGACAAGTCTGGCCTCCACTTGCCACTGCCTCCCAGTTGCTGGGATTAAAGCAGTGCACCATCACTCCTGGCTAGTTCTCCTCTTTAACACGTGTGTTTATGGCTACTACTGTCAATGGCTACCTTGGTTGTGATTTTCGTCATAGTTCTTGAGCAGCTCTAAGGCCATTGGTCCTGACTTGCAGTTAAACTCAGAAGGAAAATCTAGATAGGCAAAGGGGAATACAGTTAGGGGTATGAATAGCTCATACACACACACACACACACACACACACACACACACACACACACACATATATATATATGTTAAACTCAGGACCTCTGGAGGAGCAGCCAGTGCTCTTAGCCACTGAGCCATCCCTCCAGCCCCATGGGCAGTTGTATTCATGGGCAGGAGACTGGTTTACAGTCTCCTGACACTTCAGGTCTATCCTCTATAATGTGGAGACACTGTAATGTACACATACTGAGTCAGCCTGCCCTGTGGATAGCTCCTGACTCTTAGAGTCCATTTGTGGACTTGCCTTCCTTTTCTCTCCGGCGCCCTGCATTGGTTTTTATATTTCTATGGGGCAGAAGTAGCGGCTGGTGGGAGGACCTGGGAAAGTGGGCTGGGACTCTGGAGAAGGAGGGAAGCCCTGTGTCCTTTGTTAGTTCTTCAGCTAAAGGTTTGTGGGGAGTCAGGGGAGGACACAAACTGCTGGCCATCCTAAAACAAATCTGTTTGCCCTTTTCTGCTCTTCCTTAAACTAGAGTGACTGTGGCATCTCTTTCTCAGGACACAATTAATTCAAGATGCGATTTCAGCAAAGCTGACTGGTTGTTAATAGGACAAGTGAGGAGGAGACTCAAGCTATGGACCTTGACCATTGAGCCAGGCTACAACTTGCCTTGTTCCAAGTGCAACATCACGCCTAAGCAGCTGATATGAACCCGAAGTCAAGCGAACCTGGAGCAAGGTACAGCAGCCAACCCATCTTAAAACTCCAGAAACCCATCCGACCGTACATCTGCTCCACTCTAGATGACTTCCAAGAAGAGAGAGACTTTTTGGCCAACATCATCTTCCCTCGACTTAATGACTTCTGCAGCCCCCGGGGCACTTACTTCAAAGCTGTGGACCTGAGGTGGTCCGCTGTGAAGGTCCGGAAGTCCTTCACCGCCAACCTGTTCCGCCAGCACGCCTGTCTCCGCTCGCAGAGCCTGAAGCTCTGCCTTGACTATGTGGATAGCTGCTTCCCCTTCTTCATCTGCCTGCTGGGGCAGACCTACGGGGACTTCCTCCCCGGCTACACACCCTTCGTGTTCACCAAGGTCAAGGACTTCTCAAGTCTATCCAAGGGTGAACAAAATCTGTACATCGCTGCAAAAAATGGCTACCCTTGGGTCCTGAAGAGTCCCACCTGCAGCCTGACGGAGTTTGAGATCATCCAGGCGGCGTTTCGGAAGGAATCCCCGTTCCAGTTCTTTTACTTCCGGACCTCAAACTTGCTGCTGAGAACTTTCAACGAGGAGGAGGAGGAAGAGCTGTCTCCAGCTTCTCTGATGAACCAAGAGGAAAAGCTGAGAGTTGGAAAACTCAAGGCTAAGATCATTGGTAAAGGGCTTCAGGTCAGATTCTACAGAGACCTGGACGAGTTTGGGGAGATGGTTTTCAAGGACTGGTCTGCTGTTGTGGAAAAGCTCTACCCAGCCCCTACGATCATGGAAAACATAGGTCAGTAAATGTAGGGATGGCTAGGTCCGCCATTAGCCATCAGTGTCTTCTGGGTCTTCTGGAGAAGGAATTAAAAAAAAAATATGTGCACGTGTGTATGCATGCATGCGTATGTGTGTGTGTGTGTACACACATGAACCATGCCTACACCATGGTGTCTTTGAAGGGCAGAGGACAACTTGGGGAGTCATTTTTTTTTTTTTTTTTTTTTTTGCCCTTTGTCTTGTGGCGGCAGAATCTCTCATTTCTGGTGGCCAGCATTCTCTGGTCTGACTGGCCCACAGTTTGCTGTCTCCACTTCCCATCTCACCGTACCCCCACAGTGCCGGGGTGACAGATTCCGGCTCTCACATCTGGCTTTTTGTGAGTTGCAGGAACAGAACTCAGGTAATCCAGTTTGTGCAGTGAGTGGCTTTGGTCTGCTGAGGCAGCTCACTGGCCCGGGAAAGGGACTTTCAAATAGTTGAATACACTTACTAAGCATTTTAAATTTTTACCATAATCTTGTAGCATATGTTGCTCTCTTTAAAAATATAGTTATTTGTGTGTGTGTGTGTGTGTGTGTGTGTGTGTGTGTGTGTGTATGTGTTCATGCAGGAGCCTGAGGCGGTCAGAAGAAAGTGTCAGCTCCCCTGGGACTACAGTTCTAGGCAGCTGTGGGCCAGCATGTGGATGCTGGGAACTGAACCTGGGTGCTCTGTAAGAGGACTCTTGGCACTGACGAGAAGAGCTCATTGCACACCTGGAGATTATTAGAAGTTAGAGCAGAGAAGACCCAGAACACTGGCATCCGCGTGCAGGTCTAGAGGGGCGTTTTCACCCAGGCTCGATTTTTGTCCCCTTTGGTCTCATATGCAGAGAATCGTGGTTGTCATAAGTGAAGAAAAGCACCCTGTGTCTAGTGGGTAGAGACTGGGGATAGACCTCCACGATGCCAGGCTGTCTGGTCCTAAACGCCAATGGTGCCACAGTTAGGAAAGGATCCTTTATTGTCTGGTGATGTGAGGATAGTGTTGCATTTAACCTTTAAGGCGTAGCTCTTGAAGGTTAACTGTCTGGTCTGGCCGACGAGCGTGTGAAAACGGCTGTGACATGGTTAAGTGTCTTCCTGGTGACACATGACTCCTAAAGGACCCATCCAGGTCTTCAACCCAGGCCCCTCTGATTCTCATGTCCTTATCTGCAGATCCTTTACTACTCCGTGGAATCCATGAACTAAATAATATTCCATTCCAGGTCTGCTGGATTAGAATTTGCATTTTAGGGAGCCGACTAGGAGATTTGCAGGCAAGCTAAAGTGAGAAGCCCTGCCGCACATCATACTGCCTCAAAACAACAGTTATGTTAGTGTTCTGAAAATAATGTCCTGTGAGTGTGCACGCAGTAGGTTGAAAAGCCAGCGGCCCTTTAGAGTGTGGCAGGGGTTCTTCACCCAGTCAGGCTTCAGGACGGAAAACTCGTCAAGTAGCGTGAAAGGAGGAATGTCCACATGCATGTGGTATGTTTACGGGTAAGAAGATAACTGTGTTTGGTCCTGTGCTCAAGGAACGACACACAAATGTTACAGTTTCTAATGTGAGGGTCAGTGAATGTGGCCATACAATGTCACAGTAGATGGTGTGTTCTCAGATCCTGTCTGGGACCGGAGAGTCAAGAGACCTTATAACATGATTAGGAGCAGGTGGGGATATGGTGGCTCTAAGTGCTGGTGACGTGAAGCTGTTTGTCAGTCAAACCATGAGGGACCCCAGAAAAGAACATCGTTAGTCTGTCAGTCTTGTGGTTGTAGGTGATGTCAGTAGGAAAGGAGGCTCGCAGAGTGTGGGCCCTGTTCCATCCTACTGAATGAAAACTTGCTTACAGAACTGCCGAGGCAGGGCTTAGCTCTGGTCCCTGTAGGCTTCATCCCGGTGCTCAAACGTAGCCCTGGGCTTGGGTCTCAGCTGGGATTTGCTGTCCTGATGTGGGCTCAACGCCTTGAATTCCCCGTTATGGAAGGAAACTGACGGCAGCAGCTCCAGGTTCAAAGTCAGAAGGATTGACTCTGAGTCTCAGAGTGGGGTCCTCTGTCTCTGAGCGCCTGAGGTGGATCCTCCTCCGTGGGTCAAAAAAAAAAAAAAAAAAAAAAAAAAAAAGTGATGTTCCGCCGAGCTAATCCTGTGTCTGGAAGAGCAGTCCTGAGCTGAAGAGTGAGAACCGAGACTGAAGGAGTCCCAGGTGCTAATCCAGTGCTGCTCCTGAAGGGCTGCAGGCCAGGGGGTGGGAGGCGGCCAAACAGTGACTGCAGGGACAGGGTTTCGGACTCTCGGTCCCGGCCTGTGCTAGGTCCTAGAGTTTCAGTTCCAAGCTGTTGAGTTTGCAAGTTACCGTTGATAAGCACTGGTTTCTTGTATAAAACAGATCAACAGTAAATACCTTGAAAATAATTTTAAAAAAAAAAAGTGAAGCATCTAAACACAGAGCCCAGAACATGTTAGCCCGAGGGAACTATTAGAAAGAATGACAACAAATGGGATCTGGAAGAGAACCTGCATCCGACTACAGTTCAAGCTGTGGCTAATATTAATTAATATTCTTTTATTGATCTCAATCTGAAACCTACCTGATTAACAGTCACTAGTTGTAAAAGAATCGGGCTTTTCTGTATGTCTGGATTAAGGCCACCTTATTTCGTTACGGTATTTATGTTAGCTTTTGAATATTCTGGATATGCATGCATGTGTGTGATGTACATGTGTCTGTAGAGGGCACTTGTGCTGCAGCAGGTGTGTGGAGGCCGGAGGGTAGCACCGAGGAATTGCTTTCTCCTTCTAGCAGGGATGAACAAACTCAGGTCTTGTTGGGCCTCATTAGCCTTCGGTTTTGATTATTATCGAAAGGTTAGCTTACTTTAGACCTTCTTGTTTCACTCTTACTTTCAAATTACATGTATGTATGTATGTGTGAGTATGCATGTGGGGGTATGTGCACATGAGTGCAGGTGCTGTCTGACTCCAGAAGGTGTCAGATCACCTGGAGCTGAGGTTAAGGTAATTGTGAGCTGCCTGAGGGGGTGCTGGGAACTGAACTCAGGTCCTTGGCAAGAGCAGTATGCACTTTTAACTGCTGAGCCATCTCTTCAGCCCCCAGGCTTTGTTCTTAAATGGATTTATGTGCACTAAATGAATAAGAAGATTCATAATGGGCTATATAATGTCAATTGTTTATATTATATAAATTATAAATGCATAATTAAATAATATAAATATAAATTATAAAAATGTTTTGGAAGCAGGTGTTAAATTCTTTCCTTGTGCATATTTGGGCCCCTTTAATAATAACTCACGTGGAGTGAGGCTCTCATAGTCTACAGTAGAAAACCATTTGGTCAGCTGGTAGCTGCTGAAAAACAATGTAGAGTTGTCAGTGTATATGTGTATGTGTGTCTTCATGTATGTGCAGGCGCGTGTGGTGACTGGATCAGCTGCAGGTGTCATCTGTTGGGTTCAGGGAGGGTCATGCAAAGATGGGGACCGACAACCAAAGTCTAATAACCCAGAAGCAAACTTTATTCCAGAAACCAGAGTCCAGGAAAAAAATTTAAGGTTTGGGTGAGACAGGGGTGGAGGTGGAATCAGCATGGGGAGGGGTGTCCTAGCCCATCTGTGAAGCCGAGGGTTATATGGGGAGAGAATAGATCTCTGTCAGGATCTGCTGGTGGGGGCAAGACTGCAGGAATACTGGATCTGGTTCCGTTGGCTCTTCCTTTTGACTTCTTTAGAAGAACAGGAAGGACGTTAGTCTCATTCTCTGGGGAAGGAAGGAGAGGTTTTAGCCCTGAAGGAGGGTGAATCAGGAGGTAGTGCCGCCACTATAGTACCTGGACTGGGTGACTGGAAACAGTCTCCTGAACTTTAAGGATAAACTTAAGGTCAAAAGAGCCTGCAGAAGGCCAGCCGACCTGAAAGACTGGCCGTTCTGGAGAGCAGAAGGTCTGAGTAGCTCCGGCTTCACACAGGCTGCAAAGGCTAGAGTGGCCTCCCTGACATCCTGGAAAAGAGAAAGGGCAAGGTCCAGGGGAGACTTAGGTTTGGAAGAAGCTTTTCCCATAGTGGAAATTACTTCACACACAACCACAACGAGAAGACTGACAACAGACAATATGACAACATGACATGAAACAAAATTAGCAAGACATCGCTGTGTGCTGGGTCACATGATCCCATACCAGTCCCAAAGGGTCGTATAACTGCAGAACCCAATGGCCAGTGAAGGAACAGAGAATCCCCTCATTTCCTCCGGCTCTGAGATTAGAAGCGCGTCCACCAGATCTCCTTGATCTCCAGACTGTCCGGATACCAGATAAAAAAATCAGAAACTTAATAATTGGTAAAAAAGAATAATAAAGTTTGCCAAAAACCAAAGACTGGGGTGTCTCTTCAGAAACAGGTTTGTGCTTCCCTGTACAGACCACCAAAATGTTGGGTCCAAGGGGGTCATGCAAAGATGGGGAGAGACTACCAAAGTCTAATAAACCAGAAGCAAACTTTATTCCAGAATCCAGGAAAAAATCCAGGGTACAAAAAGCTTATCAGCTAGCTGAGACCTTAGCCAGTGTAGTAGGAGGCTGCTTCTTTGCCCGGCCTTCCAGAACCAAAATAATCAAATAGAAACCATATTAATTAAATCACTGCTTAGCCCATTGGCTCTAGCTTCTTATTGGCTAACTCTTACATATTAATTTAACCAATTTCTATTAATCTGTGTATCGTCACATAGCTGTGGCTTACAGCTAAAGTTCTACCTGACTCCGGTGGGGCTTACATGGCTTCTCTCTGACTTTGTCTCTTTTCTCCCAGCATTCACTTTAGTTTTTCCCACCTAGCTCTGTTCTCCTATGGGTCTGCTGTAGGCCCAAAGCAGTTCCTTTATTTATCAGTGGTATTCAAGCATACAGAAGGAAATCTCACATCACCTTCCCTTTTCTGTTTAAATAAAAAAGAAAGGCTTTCACTTTAACATAGTAAAATTATATGTAACAAGACAGATATCAAGCAATAATTACAGTTACAATATTTATATCTACTTTATTTTTATCATAACTAAGAAAAACTATAACTATAAATTCTTCAACTCCATCAAAGACTCCAGAAGGATATAATATTACCTAAGTAAACAGAAAGTACATTGTAAGTAAGCAACTTCCAAAACTTTAGAAACGACAGAGACATCTTGCTGCCTGTTCAGTCACCCAAAGTTCTTCTGTACTATTGGGGCATCCAGTCTTCAGCCCATGGCCTGTAGTATCCAGCAGACTTTCCCATGAAGCAGGAAATTTAAAAGACAGTTCCACCTCTACTGGCAGTTTGTCAGTCACTTTCTTCTGTGTCCAGCAGGATGTCTAGCAGACTCTTTCTATTCTTTCATGAAGCAGGAACCCAGAAGGACTGTCTCACCTTTAGGCAAGTTCAGCAGTCATTTCTCTGTGGGTCCAGGCAAAGGCAGTTCCCAGATGGCTAACCAACTCCATAAGGAGCCTCTTCAATACCCATCATCCTCTTGAAGTAGATTGGTGTTGCCAGGAGCAGACGTGTCTCATTGTCATGAAAAGTCCTAAGTTCTTAAAACATTTTAAATGCCATATTCTTTAGTCTCTGAAAGATTTGAAGAATCCCAATCCATCTGAAATATATCTCTATATATCTAGAAAACCTAACATGACTACTACACACTTGATTATTATAATTGATTATCTATTAACCTATACTTCTTAATTATACATTGCATTTTAAATGAGTTGCACAAGCACAATCAAGAGCATAAATATACATATAAAAATTGGCCTTAAATTTGTATCAATAAACCAAGATTCATACCAATGCAAATCTCTTTAGCATATACCCCTTTAAATATAAATAAACATTTATAGACAATATTTGAGAATATGGGCATAGTTTTGTCCAGACTTCTTCCTGCTGCTTATTGGGTGAAGTAATTTTTTTGAGGGGTGTTCAAGGCAACCTTTCAGGAGGTCTTGGTCCATCAAACCACATTAGTCTAGAAAGATTCCATAGGTTCTCATTCTCTGTGGAACAAAAGAAGAACCTCTTTTCCAAAACAACATATCCTTAGACTTAAATTCTGAAGTCAATATACCTTTAAAGTATATATGCTGGTTAATTAGCTTCTTTACAGTCAAAAAATTCAAAGAAAATATGATAATATACATAATCCACACTCTCTGTGAACTTTCCATCTTTTTATGGCTTATTTTTCTTTATTCCTTTATTCCTATTCTCTCTCCTAAGCCTACGTACATTTATCCAACACTGCGACCCATTTGGAGGTCTTTTATGTCTGAATCTGTCCTATTGCTTATCTGTAATTCTTTACTATCCAGGAGCACTTCTTAAAATGCTAAGTGCTTCTTAAAAATGTAAGCTGTGGCATTATTAGGAGAAATATGGTACTTCCTGCTTGCCCCGCCCAGCCCAGAATGGCGGAGCTGTTTGCTGTCTCTGAGAGCCTTGCACACAGCCCCATTCTCAGACACACAGCCAGTCCTTGCCGCCATTAAGCAAGCTGCAGCAGTCTGCTCACAGACCTCACTCAAATGCTCTGTAGCCAGACTTCCTGCCTGAAAAAGTCAGAGTTTGTGCTGGCAAGATGGCCCAGAAAGCCGGCATTTCAAAATGGCACAGCTTTTTTCCTGCTACTGCTGAATCAGGAAAACCTCTCTTAAAGGAACTGTGGCAAGCCACCAGCTGAAAAAAAAGTGTGGCTAGACTTTGTTTTTTTGTGTCTAGAGTTCCTTTTCCAAGCCTTCTCGGGTTTTACATGGATTTAGTCCACCATGTTAGCATGCCAATTTGTAGTAGGAGGCTGCTTGTTTGACCCAGCTGCCCAAAACAGAAATAATCACACAGAAACCATATTAATTAAATCACTGCTTGGCCCATTAGCTCTAGCTTCTTACTGGCTAACTCTTACATATTAATTTAACCCATTTCTATTAATCTGTGTTTCACCACATGGCTGTGGCTTACCGGCTAAAGTTTTCTCTGGCTCTGGCAGGTCTACATGGCTTCTCTCTGACTCTGCCTCCTTTCTCCCAGCATTCAGTTTAGTTTTCCCCACCTAGCTCTGTTCCCCTATAGGTCTGCTGTAGGCTCAAAGCAGTTCCTTTATTTATTTATCAATGGTATTCAAGCATACAGAGGGAAATCCCACATCACCAGAGATGATTTTTTTTGTAAGGTTTTGGCAGAGGCCAATTTCTGAACCCACCTTTTTATAATAGGGGCACCAAACATTAGGTCTGAACAAAGGAATTTTTACAATCCCAAGGTAAAACTCAGATACAGATTGCCTTACTTTACAATCTCCATTAACAGAGTTTCTCAGTCAAACTAGTGTTTGTACTTAATCTATTGTCTTCCTTGGTACTTCCAGGTGGTGTTTACTGAAGCCCTGTGCTCTCCCCTTTGATGCTGCCAGTTTCACATAGCAGGGGTAATGTGTAACCCAGAGGTCATATATCTATTTCCTACAGATGGCTCATATCCGTAGGCTAGCTCTCTGTTTTCAGAGAAATGCTTTGGCCTTGTAAATAGAGCTATGGGTTGTAAAGCGGAATAACCCACTGTTAATAGTTCATCCTCAATCTGCCGAGAAAGCTGCTGACAGTCTGTTCTCATTCTCCCAGGCTTACAACTTCATATTTTTTTTATTTCTGCATTCCTATGTTTGGAATCTACATTTTTAAAAAAATATTTATTTATTTGCTTATTGTGTATACAGTATTCTTTTTTCAGAAGAGCGCACCAGGCCTCATTACAGATGGTTGTGAGCCACCATGTGGTTGCTGGGAATTGAACTCAGGACCTTTGGAAGAGCAGGCAATGCTCTTAACCTCTGAGCCATCTCTCCAGCCCTGGAATCTACATTTTTATATTCTTATTCTCGGACCCTTCTTCATCCTCACGCTGATCATCTTGTTTCAGCATGGACTCGACTCTTAGAAGTTCCATGACACGTGGATGAAAATGCTGTATAGCACCCTTTCTTTGTAAGCTAGCTTTCAAAATAAATGTCAAGCACTTCTATTCACAGAGAAACTGATGCAGTGACGGTCAGGGTTAGTGCAGGAGACTTGTAAGGTCCTCCTAAATTCAGTTAAAGCTCTTGGATCTTAGAGCTGGCCTTGGCCAAACTGGGTTCCTAAGTCTGTTCTGGGCCCAATCTCAACCTCAGGGAGGCCCAGTTAGTTGTGGAGGTACAAGCTGGTACAAGTTGGTCTGAATCTGCCAGACCAACTATGTTTTGTTTCATTTATTGATACTCTCCTTCATTCCCCACCTCCCACGTCTGCAAGCAGAATAAACTTGGGAATATGTATCTCTTCAAAGACAGGAAGGTATTTTGGTAGGCCAGAACGCCCTGAGCCTAACCGCGCAGTGGGTTTAGAACTGAAGCAAATTGGAGCCGGAATGATCATTAGAGATCATCTAGTTGTGTGGTCCTCCATATTTACCAGAATTTAAAAGACTCCCCCTATGGCAAAGCTGCATCTATGCCTATGGCTCTCGTCCATGTTGGAACGTGTTACATGGAGAAGAAAGAAGCCCTACTCCTCAACCTCTGTCCCGGAGGAAATGCATGTACACACATGCCTGAAAACTGAACCTTTGTACTGGCTAGCAGTTTGAATAGAAAACAGAATGTATGTATCAAACCTATATTTGCTTTTAACCCTTGTTGCTCTCAGGTCATGAAAGTTGGATTCTGTGTATAAATGGCACGAGGAAGGTTACATGGTCTCCCCAAAGCAGTGGCTTCCAAGCTGTGGGCCGTGACCCTTTGGGGAGGTTGCATATCGGATATTTACATTATGATTCATAGCAGAGGCAAAATGACAGTTAAGAAATAGCTGCGAAGTAATTTTATGGTCGGGGGTCGCCACACCATGAGGAACTGTGTTAAGAGGCTGCAGCATTAGGAAGGTTGAGAACCCCCGGACTGTGGTTGTTTTCACTATCATATACATTGGGCTATAAAATATGGCACAACCATAGAGAGAGAGCGGTCCAGCCACGGAAGGGTGGGTTCCCTTTCTGGGCGTTTAGAAGTCACGCAGATCCGAAGACGCGAAACTACAAATCTAATACCTTGCTTATCTTTTTCACCATTGAGACTACAAACACAGCCTTGAACGTTTGTACCATGAGGACTTCGCTGAGAAGTGCAAGCAAGTTTTTGTTGTCTCCAAGGAGTCCAGCAGGATCTTTGAAATCCTGGAAAGATTTGCCTTAACAGATGTCGGGCTTGACTCTGACAGTGCTACCGCAGGTTCGGGCTTAGACGCCATCCTCAGGTAAGAGGTTCAGAAATCCTCATTTATTTTATGGGGCTAAGGTAAAGCAGCCTGGCTTTAGTAAACAGGAGCCTCCAAATTCAGACTTTCTAGCTTCCTTTTTCTGGTAAGTTTCTGTCAGAAAGACCCTGTGAGAGTCTACCCTGGCAGTGCCTTAGCAGGACGGCTGCCGCAACCGGCCCTGAACCGCGACACTAGGAGACATTCTAATGTGGAAGAGGGACATCTCAGGGGACCCCACTCACAGACAAAGAACTACAAGCCGCTAATTACTGCTGAGAGATGGAGAGTTAGTCCTCCCTGGGGGTGAGCCTTCTAATTAGTTATCTAATCCGAGTGGGCAGCCTGAAATCACATTCGTACAAGCAGCACTAACCAGACTCGGCAGGTTATACTTACATTTTTATGCATATATATACATATAAATATAATGCAATAATAATGACGGAAGAAGAGGTTATAAATTTAAGAGGATGGGGAGCATGGGATGAGAGGGAGGGGAAATGATGTAATTATATTTTAATAATTAAAAATTGCAAAAATTTAAATAAAAAATTCGATTAAAGGAAGAACTAAAAAGAAGGAAAGAAAGAAAGAGAGAGAGAAAGAAAGAAAGAAAGAAAGAAAGAAAGAAAGAAAGAAAGAAAAAAGACCGTAGAAGCTGTGCTTCGGAAGCCGGATGGTGGTGGTGCACACCTTTAATCCCAGCACTCGGGAGGCAGAGGCAGGTGGATCTCTGTGAGTTTGAGGCCAGCCTGGTCTACAAGAGCTAGTTCTAGGACAGGCTCCAAAGCTAGCTATTCTTTTTTGAAGCTTTTCTGTATTTCACATGCTCTCGAGGTGAAAAGGGCTCTGAAGGGCCAAAGAGTGGCCCTTTTTCAGTCTCATTCATCAACATTTGCTTAATGAATCCCTGAGGATTGTGGAATGACTGTAAGCAAAAGAAACTAAGGAAAATGAACGATATTATGCCATTTATAAAGAGCTTCCACCTATGTCAGTAATAAATTGTATCAATATAGTCACCAAGCACTTATTAGGATATGGACCACATCATACTTGGGTTAGTAAGGAATCAACTCATTACATACAATGCATGCAGTCATTTTTGGTTTACCCGGTGTCCTGCACAGAACAGTCAGCCCTCACAGGCGCTGATGGATGAGGTGACATAGAGGTTGTCTATAGCGTCTCTCCAAGTCTCGTTTCTAAAGACAGGAAGCCTCTTTAGAATACTCTTTTAGTCTTCTCCTTCAGCTCTCCCTGTACATGTCCTTTATTCTGTAAGAATTTTGTGATTTGGAATAAGGCTGCAGTAGCCGGGATGGTACCGGCAGGCCTTAGTAGTTCCTATCCTAGGCTCAATACTCCCATCGCAGGCCACTCAGTGCGACCACCGAGCTTTCTGGTGGATCTGGGTGCCCACGCTAGGTTACTGCAGCGTGAGAGTCAGCCGACATTTTTAAGACTGTAGGCGAAGACATGGGTTAACAATGTTAGGCTTGCACAGGTGAGTCCACAGAAGCAGAGAGTCAGGGTGGTTGCTGGGAGAGAGTGGGGATGGAAAGAAGGGTGACTAGTAAGGGGACAGGGGTTTTGGGGATACAGGACGTGTTTTGGAGTTAAATAGCGGTGATGATTATATATCCTTGTATAATGAAAATCAGCAGTGTACTTTAAAACTAACGTTTTTGCTTTGTAGATTCTCAGTGTGTTTATTGTCTTTGAATAGGTCATCATTTTTTGTTGTAATCGAAGAACTTAAATTGGACCCAGTAAGAGCGCAGTGATTAGGTAGCCTTTTTAACTGTGTGGAAACACTTAGGGCTCTGTTTGCTTTACCATCTGGAACACTGCCCCGTACTGCGTGTTCCTAAACACTGTGTGTAAATCAACAGAAGAATGTTCCTCGTTCTAAGGTGTGAAGCATGACCGCAATCTCAATTTCTTTCTTTACTTCTCTCTGTCTGCTTCAGACTCGATCTCACCATGTAGCCCTGGCTGGCCTCAAACTCACTCTGTGGTCTAGGTTGGCCTTAAACTTCTGGCCATCTTCCCGCCCGTGTCTCCCGAGTACTGACATTACAAGCATGTGCCGCCACGCCAGGTCATACATCAGCCTTCTAGCAATAGAGTTTTTAGTACGAAAGTTTCCATTTGTCGCCCACGACGTCCATGACGACTCTGTCCCTGTTTATTCAGACGCATCTCATATGTGTTTGTACTCGTTGATTTGACCTGCTGGGCGTCACACACAGTTTCAGACTCACAGGATATCACAGTGAACAAAAGAGCCAAATCCCCGCCCCTGTGGCATTTGATCCTGGGCACAGGGACTAACTAAGCAGCATGTATGAAGTGTGTGCAGTGTGCTCCACGTCTTCAAGGGCCAGTGGGCAAACTGAAATGAAAGGGGCCAGCGGATAGGGCGAGGGGAAGCCCTGAGTGATGAAGTGATGTGTGGGTAGCTAATAGAAACGAGTGAGGCGGCCAGCTATGCAGACGTGGAAACATGACCTGGAAGAACATTCCAGACAGAACTGTAAATACAGAAGCCCTGAGGTTAGAGAAACAGCAGAGATGCCAGGCAGGGAAAGGGGGGGAATGGAGACGAACTGATGGCTGTCTGGTCTCACAGGTCACCAAATGACATATTTCAACAAGCTCTCTCTGGCTGATGGCAGAGGTATAAGGAATCAAAATTAAATCCCAGTTTTGAAAGTTATCGGTGAAAGCTTGGCAGTGGTGGCGCAGGCCTTTCATCCTAGCACTCGGGAGGAAGAGGCAGGTGGATCTGTGAGTTTGAGCCAGCCTGGTCTACAGAGTGAGTTCCAAGACTGCCAGGACTACACAGAGAAACCCTGTTTCGAAACCTTCCACCTCCCAAAAATTAAAAATAAAAAAGAAAGAAAATTATTAATGAAGGAATTTAGGTAATAGAGCATTGATTCCCAATTCATATCGATGAAGACGGAATTATTGCAAAATGGCTGCTTTTTAGTGACCTACTTGAGAGTCTTTGTTTCAGTCTTTTAAGCTGTCCTCTGATACTGCCAAACTTGACTTCTGGCTCATGTGCTCCATTTCATTCAGTCCGTCATTTATCCATTCAACAGTTGGTTGTCAGGTGCTGTTCCAGTCAGTAAGATAATCCCTCATGATATTCACTGCCAGTGGAAAATCATCACACACATGCACACACGCACACACGTGCACACATGTGCACACACACGTACACACACACGCACACATGTGCACGCACACATGCACACACGCACAGGCACAGGCACACACATATTCTGTATGACTGGGACCTCATGTATGATAGGCAAGCACTCTACTACTGGACTATATACCCATCCCCAGGCATTTTTTCCTTATTTTTCTTGAAACAGGGCCTCACTATATTATCTAGGATGGCCTTCAACTTGTGATCCTTCTGCCTCAGGATCTCAACTAGCAGAGATTACAAGTCAGCAGCATTAACCCTAGCTGATATATACTAATCTGTCCCAATCACCAGTCTGAGGTGATGGTGCATACCCATGATCCCAACACCAGGGAGGTGAGAAGGGAGGGTCAGGAGTTCAAGACGGTCCTTGGCCACTTAGAAAGTTTGAGGCCAGCCCGAACAATGTGAGATCCTGTCTGAAAAAGAAGTAAAAAAATAAACTAGCTGTAATCGCAAGGCTGGAGTCTCTGTGCAGAGGTCCCCTGCGTGTACAGTGAGAACAAGAACCAGCTAGTTCACACACTCTGGCAAAAGTGCAGGTAGTTGTCGGTCAGCGATGCCGGCGGCAGGTTCCTCGGAATCCCAGTCTGTGGGTTTCAGAGCGGATGAGTGTTCCTGTGTGGCGTGTTCCTCTTCCTCACTGTCTTCCAGTGTGAATGACGTCACAAGGACAGCCTGGTGGCAGCAGGATGGACAGAGCAGACAGACAGGACGGCAGACAGGGGTGGTAACTTTTTTCTCCCTAGTCCTTGAGCCCTTGACCGTACTTGAAGCTCACGTCGGGCAGTCCTAGGGTCTGTCTAGCCAGAGGAGCCTTCCGAAGTTCCCGTCTCTACTCTGCTAACCTCCTGTCACACAAAGCTGCAGGACCCAGGAGAAATGATTGAAGCCTCCTGACTCAGGCCAGGGCATCACCTCTCTTAGAGGAAAAATGTCTCCTCTCCTTCCCGTTCTTGGTAAACATCCATGCCTGCCACTTACCCTTCTGTTTTTCAGAGTAAATTCCCTTCCAACTTCTAAGTCGATTTTGCTCTTGTCTGGAGAACGCGGCTGTGGGAAATCCACTCTCATCGCCAGCTGGGTCAGCGACTTCAGAAACAAGCACCCCGGAGTGTTGATGATCCCGTACTTTCTGGGAAGCACGTGCGAAAGCAGTGACGTCATGACCGTCATCCACTACTTCGTCATGGAGCTGCAGCACAGAGCCCACGGTAACGGAGCCAGCCTCACAGGCAGGGGACAGCACAAGCCCCTCCTCCTGCCCCCCTGCTAGTCTTTCTGCACGCCACTCTTACTTAAAAAGAATAATTTATTGTCGGGCAGTGGTAGCGCATGCCTTTAATCCCAGCACTCAGGAGGCAGAGGCAGGAGGATCTCTGTGAGTTCAAGGCCAGCCTGGTCTACAAGAGCTAGTTCACAGGCTCCAAAGTTACAGAGAAACCCTGTCTTGAAAAACTAAAATAATAATAATAATAATATATTCATTTTTATCTATGTACGTTGATGTTTGCCTGCATGTATGTTTGTGTAAGGGTGTCAGAGTTCCCTGAAACTGGAGTTATAGATAGTTGTGAGCTGCCTTGTGGATGCTGGGAATTGAACCTGGGTCCCCTGGAAGAGCAGCCAGTGCTCTTAACTGCTGAGCCATCTCTGCAGCCCCCACTTTTACTTTTTATAAATATCAGTTATGACTGCTTTAACCACCTTAGGTCACTTTTCTAACTAAAACCCAAACGTTCTTAAGACCAGAAAAAAAATTGATTTTGACGCAAGCGTGAACCTTAATATAAAAAGAAAAATCATTAAAAATGTTGTGTCCTTTTCCCATGAAAATAAAATCATGACTCAAAGGATAATTCACTTTAAAATTGTTAAAGTGCCAGCTGAATTAGAAGTGAGCAGTTCTTGGGCCAGGTGTGGCAGCCTGTCCCTTTCATCCCAGCACTCATGACAGCCTGCTCTACAAAGCAAGTTCACAGAGAAACCCTGTCTTGTAAAACAAAAGACAAAATGAAAACCAAAAACGAAAAGAAAGAGAAAGAAACAGTTCCCTCGGGACTGGCCTTCTCATGTCTTCAATAAATCCTTGTGGCTTCACCCCCATATCCTGCTTCTCTCCTCCTAGAGCTTCTCTCCTTCCTGGTGATACTCTACCAGGGGTCTCTTGATTGAGTAGCAAGCAGCATTCATCCCTGTGGTGCCTGGAGGAGACAGAGAAAGGCCCGCCTCTGCCTTGGGCTAGATCAGGGTCCTCACCTGTCCTGACGTGGGTCTTTAGCACTCTTCCTCATGTGTGGAACCCTGAAATTATTTTTGTTGCTACTTCATAACTGTGATTTTGCTGCTGCTATGAACTGTAATGTAACTATTGGATATGCAACCCTGTGGAGGAGTGGGTTGACTGCCCACGCAAAGGGGTCTTGACCCCCATGTTGAAAACGGCTGGGCCAGAGGAAAGGGGGGAGCGGAAGAGGCATACCTGTTCCTCCAAACCGGAGGCCTGTGCTTCCGCCGCCGTTCTTGTGGAAAGGAGTTGGCCACATAAAATATCAGGCAGGTTTGGAAGGTGAGCCCCTCCCCATGGAAGGGATGACGCTGCCGGGACAGGTAGCCCCTTTGGGAGCATCTCACAGTCAACAGAGGCCAACCATATAGAAACCAGAAGGGAGAACATCCCAGGCAAAGGGGAAAGGTCAAGTCGTGCTATAGTTCCAGAGCTGGAAACAGAGGGCCAGTGTGGCCAGACAACACTGCATGGCATGGTCTCTCAGACAAAGCAGGAAGTGAGTGCAGGACCACTTCATTTAGGAGGGAGCTGTGCAGGGCAGAATACCAGGTGTGGATTGTGTTATATGTAGGAACTGTGTAGGGCAGAATACCAGGTGTGGATTGTGTTATATGTAGGAACTGTGTAGGGCAGAATATCAGGTGTGGATTGTGTTATATGTAGGAACTGTGCAGGGCAGAATACCAGGTGTGGATTGTGTTATATGTAGCTAGAATGCAGTGGAGGTTCTAAGTAGGGGATGGCACGACTCGGTGCATGGGAAATGGGTGCAGGGAAGCCAGCTCACAGACAGGGAGGGACAATTATCATTGGTTATTGAACCCGTCCTAGCAAGATGCTGACATGTTGGTTGAGGGCTGTGGGTAGTTTGAGAAATTGCTGAAGAACTGGATGTGGGTTGAAGGAAAGGGGAAACTGAGGACAATTCCCGTTTCTGGGCTTTAGGAAGCTAAATGAAAGGCCAGGGCCCCTCACCGAGAGTGGCAGTGCCCGTGGGGTGGGGGAGGAAAAGCAGGTTTGGAGGAAGTCGAGGGTTCTGCTGTGGATGTGTGATGTTGGAGATGCAGAGTGTGTTGTTCCCGCGGTGATAGCAGTCAGGAGGCCGGTGCTGTGTTCATCCTGTCCTGGGAACCTGAGAACCTGTATTCAAACCTATGGCCTTGGGTAAGTTATTTTAACTTCCTGTGGCTTGGTTCCTAGTTGGTTTTGTTTATTTTTATTTTTTGAGACAGGTCTCCTGTAGCTCAGGGCAGTCTCAATTTTGTTGTGTGGTCAAGGATGGCCTCGAACTCCCAACTCTACCTCCCAAGTGCTCCAATCACAAGCCTGCCATACCCAGCTTTGTTTTTCTATGTATACAAACGTGGGTATCAAAGGAAAAGTATCTTTTAGGCATTTAAGAGGATTAGCTAGGATAAAGTACAAAAGACAAAGGCATTCATTCGGGTGCAGTGTAAGCCTGGTGTCCAGTAAGCACTGATGAACAGTAGTGGGTACCATTGTTCTGCATTTGCCGCTGTGCGCATATTCACACGCGCTGACTGTGCCTGCAGGGGACACAGTTCGTCTCTTGCCATCCACCCGTGTGTGCTCCTAGGTCCTGAGTAAATCTGCGGCCCCTCACAGTGTCTTTGAAAGCTTTCATACAATTCACGTGGGGGCAGGGCAGGAGTGTGCATGCAGGGTGAGTGACGGCTGAGTTCTCTCTGGTTGCACTTCCCGGGTCTGTAAAGCAGGTTACATCAGAGTCAGCAGAAGCAGGTGTGACCGCCTCCGTTTCCGTAGGCTCCTAGGCCTATTCTGGCACATCCCCTAGGTATTCATTCGCCTGGGCCAGGCAGCTGATGATGTAAGCTCGGCTGAACACACCCAATTATGATTTTATCCCCGAAGTGAGCTGTTATTTTAACGAGCGTGTCTTGGGACTCAGGAAAGGCCCAATAAAAACAGCTGCTGTCTTTCAAACAAGCAGCCCTTTAGTCTGGCAGCAGAAGGGCAGATTCAGGAAAGCCAGGATAAACCAGACAGCTCTCCGCGTGAGCTCCGTGTGAAGCGGGGGGGGGGGTGGGGGCGGCTGAGCCTGGGCGCTCAGTCCGGAGCAGTTTACTGTTTACTCATTTCCCAGTTTCTCACCTGTAAACCTGCCCCCTAAGGTAAAAGAGGAAGGACTGACAATGGTACCCGGCACCCTGCCGCTACTATTATTTTGCTGCTGTGGTTATTTGTTAGTAGGATTAGCATTCCTCCCTGGGTTGGAGAAAGAAGCAGCAGGGTGCACTATTAAGGGACGCGAGATTGGCCCCCCGCAGGGGGGGCGGGCCGCCGGGCGGGCGTCCAGGTACAGGCACAGAGAGGCTGCCTCGGGAGTCTGCCCCGTTGCCACTGCAGCCAATCCGATTAGGGTCGAGGCTCTTGAGCGGCGTTTTCAGGGCTGCCTGCGCTTCACAGCTCAGCTGGTTTCCGGGATGAGGTGGGCGTGGGTGCAGCGCTCAGACGTGCGGCTGAGAGAACGCAAACTCACACCTCAGGTTCAGCCACTTAATGCCGGTTTTCCCCGACCCAACTCTGTTCTCTGCATCTGCAAGCGTTTCTCTGTGAGTTGTGAGCAGGGACTCTTCCTCTCTGGGACAACAAATGCCATGGGTGACCTGTTTCTGCTTTTCTGGCCCCAGCTTGGGCCTGCCAGGACAAAGTGTCTGGTGGAGGCGAACGGCCACCATCAGGCTCTCTTCCCCTGCCTCGCTAGCAGCCGGCGTCCCTTCTCAAGCTTTGTTCTTGATGCAATTCCTCTCCGCCAAGTTCCATAGTATCGGGTGGCAGTCCCAAAAGGCGAGTTCTACAGATTGAAGACTCCCTGAGCACCAGGCACTGGGTTAAGGGCTTCGTCAGCACCTTGTTCTAGGCCCTTAACTAGCATTTGCATCCTGACAAGGAGACCATGGCTGGGAGTGGCAGCATCACCAAGCGACACGCGGGTAGAGTCGGAAGTTCGGACTCTGGTTGACTCTGAAGCTCTTTGTCCTCTATGCTGCCCCGCGTGACCTCCTAGAGGCAGCGAAGGAAAGTCCCAGTCTTTTGGAAGCTCTTGATCTTCGCTAGTATCGCTCCGCTCGGCTGTCAGGAGAACCTGCCCATGAGTTGATGAATAAATGGGCACACAGCCTCAGCTTGGAGACGGGCTTTGTGCCCTGGGCCAAGATCACTTCCTAGCTTGGCTTCTTGCCCTCTGCTCCACAAGTTTGCTTTCTTTGGAGTAGACCCATCACTCTGCATTTGTGTTCATTCACTTCTCTCGATTTCCTCTGCTGGTGAACTCTTTCTCATTCTTTAAGCCTCTGTTCATGGTCCACCCCTCTGTAGGAGGGCTGATGGGCAGCTCTCCCTGACTGACAGCCAATGTAGTCCCAGCCACACGCACGTGATAGCACTGCCTGTGGATGGGACTTCTTCTCGATTCCCCAGGTGACTTACGAAGGTCCCAGTATTGTTTGTTTTAGTGTTTGTCTCCCTCTGCAAGCCCCGAGAGTTTAGAGGCCATGTCTATCTTATTGGTCATTGATATACCTAGTGCCTGGCACAGGCATAGAAGATTCCGAGCAAACCTGTGTTGAATGATGACCTCCACACACGTGAACACACACACACGGGAGCATGCATACACAAGAGAGCAACCAAGTCTGCCTACTGGTAAGTCATTAAATGGAAATTTAAACTAAATTTAAATTAAATTAAAATTTTAATTTGAGATATTAACATTTAAATTAGACCTTTCATAGAGACAAATTGGGTCTTTCCAAACAAAGGGAAATATCTAGGATCAATTTCCAGTATTACTATCTTTATCATCTTTAACATAACTTTAAGAAAAAATAGTTATGTCTACTAGAATGTCTTCTGCTTGGAGCTTTCCTTCATTGTGATGGTTTTGCATCAAACTCCCACAGAACTTTGGACTCCTGGAAAGGTGGAGATTGGAGGGGTTTGGGGAGCTCCCTGGTCAGCTGGTGTGATAGCAGTGAGCTTCGGTTTCAGAGAGAGACCCTGTCTCAAAAACTGAGGTGGAGAGTAACTGAGGAGGACACCAGACACTTACCCCTGGCCTCCAGCCACACACACACACACACACACACACACACACACACACACACACGAAACATGTGCAAACACCATACGTAGTATTTTCATATGAAATCCTGAAAATGTACTGGAGACTCCTGGTGACAAATGCCACCAACTGCTTTGGCCTGAATGTCTCGAGGAAGCCAGCCAAGCATGCCTGTGCACGTGTCCACTGCACAGCTGTGAGCAGCACCCACTTCCCAGCCTCTCTGCCCCCCCGCCCATCCGCACATCCTAGCCGTGACTGGAACGCTGTCAGCTAATTTGAAATTTCTGTATTGTAGGTCCCCAGATTGAAATGGATTTCCTTAACGAAGACTCAAATGTCTTGGTCTTTTCGCTTCTTGTCGAAGTGTTCATGGCCTCCATCAGCTTGAAGCCATGCGTGCTTGTACTCGATGGGATTGAAGAGTTGGTTGGCATTTATGGGATTTCAGGTCAGAAGGTAACAGCTCTTAAAAATTACACTTCCTTTATGAAAAAAGCCCCCGATTTTTGTATTTAAGATGTTTCTATTGTGTTGTGTTCCTAGGTATACCCATCATTTTATTGCTTTGTGTTTTATTAGACAGATATTTACCTGGCATTTACTCTTTTGTCTCAGAATCAAAGATCTGTAGCATACACAGACATCCAGAAAGAGACTACTCATCATCCTTGGTGGGACAGAGGGCAAAGAGATGATAGGTGTTGTCTGAAGCTCAAAGATAATTAAGTGGTGGGATTCGAATCCAGACACAGGGAGCCAGTGGGATGGCCCAGTGGAAAGGATGCCTGCTGCCATGGCAACCTGAGCTGAATACCTGGGGTCCACAGATAGGAGAGAACTGACCCCAAAAGCTGTCCTCTGACCTCCACACATGTGGCCAGGCACTTGCCTGCACCTACACATGTGCACACAAAGAACTGAAAATTAATTAAAAATTGTACAATAATCAAGAAAAGATCATATTTGTTGTTTAACTCATGATAGTTTTATTGCAAAAAGTAACATTTTTTTTTTTTACCATAACAGGGTCTTCTTATTTTACTAAGCAGGTTCAATTTGCCTTTTGCTAGATTTCCTCAGTTAGATATCACTGTGGGTGATTCTTCAGAGATTTGAGATTTTATTAAGTTGTTTGTAGGAACCTGTTTTTAAGAGTCCAGATTTGCACTATTAGATTCAGCATGGATGTATCAGTCAAATACGGTTTCATTCTGTGTGAATTTGTATTCCCCGAGTTACTCTTGGTGTCATAACTCACCCTTACCCTGTACTCACACCCAATATTCCGTCCTCTAAGTTTGAAAACCATCAGCAAAGTAATTTTAAGGTCTTTCAAGTTCTCAAACGTCTCCCCCAGGCGAAAGACTTCTCATGGCTGCCACGCTCACTCCCTCCTCATTGCAAGTTCATTCTGAGCACCGTCTCCTGCAGTCTGTCCTGCAAATCGCTGTGCACCCGCCCTGATGTGCGGACTGTGGAGTTCTCGGGCATGGGGGACGAAGACACTAAGTTCAGCATCTTCAGACAGCATCTCTCCGCGCCTGACCAAGAACGCTTTGGACAGAACAAACCCATTCTGAGGAAGAAGCCGAACCTGAACCCCCTGAAGCTCGCGATCATCGCCAGCGAGCTGCAGGAGTGCCACATCTACCGCAACGAGTTCCAGTGTCTGAGGGAGTACTTGGAGGTGGCCTCCATCCCGGAGCTCTGGGACTTGATTCTGAAACGCTGGGTTGAAGATTATGGTTGGAATCTGAAGCATAAAGAGGCGAACTCAGACACGGTGGCTGCAGGAAAAGGTTTGGGGGCAGTTTGGACATCCCCGTGGGAGTTCGCGGGGATCAAAGTCCATGGTGTTCGCTTGCTCAGAAGAAGGGTCTTGGGAGGGAATTGTCAGAGGAAACGCAGGGCTTCCTTGAATTTGAATTTCAGATCAACAGCAAATAATATTCTGGGGAAGGGATATAAAAAGAGAAGAGTGGTATTCCGGGGGCAGGAGAAACGCTCAGCAGGGGACCTGAGTTTGGTTCCCAGCATGCACTTCAGGTGGCTCACAGTGACTCTAACTCCATTTCCTGGAGACCTGAGGCCTTCTGGCCTCTGCAGGCACCTGCATTCGCATGGTGCACATAAACTCACGCAGACACATATTGATAATAAATAAATCTTTAAAAATAATATTACAAATAGAAATATATCTCTGATATTGCATGGGACACACTCAATCACTTATTGGATTCTAGAAAAATAACAAGTACTTCTCAGAATAAATATGTCTCAGATATTGCATGGGGGCTTATCTGTACTAAAAATTAGTTTATCTGAAATTCATATTTAACTGGTATATCATCTTCTTATGGTAAATATGGTGACTCTGTCTAAAGAGATACATGTTGACCATAAAGAGAACTGTATTAGGCACAAATCTGGATTTTTCAGGGCTCTGAAAAGTGTACTTTTTCTATGACTCAATAAAAACTGCTCTCTTGATCCACGGTTGTACTTTTGGTACAGGCCTATCTGGTGGTTCAGGTATATTCTCCACGTCCTCAGCCAATGGGGCCTCTTAAGTCTGGCAAGAAACGTCCCATGTTTCCCTTGGATGGAACCTTGGTGCCTGGGTGTCTTTGGTTGTCATTGCCCAAACATAGTCTTCTGCTGTGGAAATGATCCCAGGTGAACGTCAGCCCTTAAAGTATCCCTCCTTCGGTGGTTTCTCCAAGGAGCTCAGTGTCTTTTCTTGGTTAGTTTGTCTCTGCTGCCCCCTGCTGATACAGTCTCTCCTCACCACAGAGAACTTTAACCCGGCTTTTGTTTTGTTTCTGAGACAAATTCCCTGTATGTAGTAGGTCTGGCAGCCTGGAACTTGCCATGTAGACCAGGCTGGACTTCAGCTCACAGAGCTCCATCTGCTTTTGCCCCCCAGGTTCTAGGAGTAAAAGTGTGTGCCCCCACACACGGCTTCTTGAGTCCTGACTTTTATCCTCTCTCCCCTAAATCTTTCTCAGTTCTGCAATGGCAGAACTTTCTTCCTAGGTGGGGAAAAAAGCCAGTAGCTCATCTTGTGAGTCGATTGTTTGTGTTAAACAACGTATTCTAGAATCCCAAACAGACTTTGGAGGTTTTTGTCCTCTCAAATCTTTGTCTGTGCGGTAGGCCTGTAAAGTCTGGTTTGAAACAGGCTTTCCTCATGTTGTTTCAACTACATCAGTCTTCCCTTCCGTTGTGGAGCCTAGACTGGAAGGGGCTTGGAGAGGCGGGTGAGGAGGACAGGATGCGTTGATTACCGCTGCGTTCAGTTGTCCCACCCAGTTTTCTGCTCTGCAGTTTGCATTTCTGTCAAGGAATGGATTTCAAGTTTACCGTACCGACCCCACCTCCACAGAGGTGGAAGTGAGGTCCCCTAGAAGACTCAAACAGGCCATAGGACCCATTCTGTGCAGCTCCGTCCCCGGACTGCGCAGTAAAGCCCAGGCTTCTTCCTCCAGGGTCTGCAGCTTCCCAGTACCGGCTTGCAATCCCGACTGGTCTGGGGAGCTCCACCACAGGTCTAGGAAGAGCTTGGCTGAGTTCAGTCAAGGTCAGGGGAAGCTTCATCAGCTGGACTTCAGACCCACCTCTACCCGGAGACAGCAGGTGGTACGGGGTCCTTCAGTCTAGAGAAGGCAGTGGATCATGGCGCTTTGTTTCTCTGCAATCTGGTTTTACTCTAGCTGGCAGATAGAAAACCAGAGGCAGGACGGAAGCTGAAGGACTCTCCGGTGGTACCTGTGTGTGTAAAGGAAACACTTCTGCAGGTACCTGCGTCAGAATTGGCACCACTGGGCAGTATGCAGTGTGCTCAGTAGGGCGATTGTACCTGTGCCAGTGTTGGCTGTGACTTGGAGAACCGTGGGTAACGCCATGGGCTTTGATGGTAGGCCGGGCTCAAATCCCCTCCTCCTAGGTGACTTGGGTCACTTGCTCACTCCTTTGTAAGTCTGGGCCATTACTTGGTTGAGGGAGCGATCCCCACTCTCACTGACTCACGCTCGCTCTCCCGTGTGTTTCTGTCCCCACCGTCGCGGCTGCACAGGGTTGAGCGGCTGGGTGGCAGACGTGCTGTGTTTGCTGTGTGTCTCACACTGCGGGCTGGCTGAGGATGAACTGCTCCAGCTTTTGGACCTGCTGGGCTACAGGAACCACCAAAAAGTGACCGCGGTGCACTGGGCAGCCTTCCGCAATGCTTCCAAGCACTGGATCCAGGAGAAACCCAATGGCCTCCTCTGCTTCTGGCACCAGTCTTTGCGGAGCGCTGTGGAGCACAAGCTGCTGGGTGAGGAACCGCACCCGTGAGAACGCCCTGGGGCCAAAGGGAGGGAACATTGGGCATTCCTCCGGCGGAAACGACTGGGTAAATATGCAGGACACCAGTTGCATAAATTAAAGGAGACCTGACTTCAACGACTGTGCACTCTAGGGGTTTCCCTCAGGGAGAAGACTGGGTCCATCCCAGCTCCTTCCGGAAAATTACTATGTCATCTTCTAAAAATGATTTTTTAATTACAAGTGATGACTCTGGAATCTTACAGAACCAATAGATCCCATGCAATGTGCTTAGCTCCTTTAAACGCTGTTTCTCACTTGCAAAAGAAGGATAACGGTGATATTTACCTTGAGGGTAATAGGAGCTCGTGTAAACCTAGGCATCACATCTGTGACCTCCATAATCTCCGAGGCAGCCGTTTGAATGACAGTTCTCTAGTTCCTTTGCTGGTTGGTTCTGTATGACTGTGTGACCATGCAACATTTAAGATGATTCTCCTCTGGCATTTCCCAACCTGGATTAGAATTCCAGGCCCCCAGTCCCAAGACAGACGTAATGAGCTTTTGTTCTCCGAAGCCCCCGAGGTTAGCAGTTGTCAGTGTAGTGTGTGAGCTCACTAGGTCTCAGGTGTTCGAGGTTAAGTCTGTCCATGAGAAGTGTGCTACACTTTGTAAGCACAGGCCAGACCTTCCCTCGCATCCCTGTGTAGTTGGAGGAGAGCAGTCAGTTCCCTGGTCTCTGTTTTTTAAGTAGCTTCATTTGCCATCGGAGGCATTATCTGCCCCATTTATTTTTCTCTCTCACTTCCTACCTTACTTTCTCAATGTACCACCCACAGAAATTCCTTCACAGTGCAGCGAGGGTGGTGGGGGAGGCATCTTCTGTTTCTTTCATGGTTCTCATATGCATCTCATTGTCACCAGAACATATGTGCACACTTTTGACGAAATGGCCCAAACTCTCTCCAAATGTGTGGGTGTCTTGGAAACCTTTTCAGTCAAATGCAGAAGGTTAAACAGTGGATTCTTCTTGGCTACGGTTTTTATGATAACATGGGGCTTGGTGTGCCATCTAGTTGTGTTCCATTCATCTTGTAAGAAAAAGTGAAAAGAAAAATTGTCAAGGAAAAAATGTAAAAACACTTCCTGTATTTTGATTTTCATTTTCCAGAGTAGACAACACCAGAACCTGATTAAGCAAAACTCTGGACTTTTGGGAGGTTTATTTCTGGGCGGTTCAGCCTGTTAGGACCATTTCCCTTTGGGGAGCAAGACGCAAACGCCTGCTTTAGCACCACATGTCCACTTCCTTGCTCGGTGTCCACCGGGCCCTTAGGAGATCCAGGGAGTAGAATCAGGTCTCCATATGCTCCCCCGTCCCCATACACACATGCTCCCCCGTCCCCATACACACATGCTCCCCCGTCCCCATACACACAGGCTACAGAGTGCTTTTTAAGGCAGCAGCCATGGTGTGTACTGAAACGGGAAAAGCAGGACTGGAGAGATGGCTTAGTGGTGAAGAGCCATGGTTGCTCTTCCAGAGGACCTGAGTCTGACTCCCAGCAGCCACATGGCAGTTAGCAACTGTTGTAACTCCAGCTTCAGGGGCTCTGACGCCCTTTTCTGCCCTCCATGGGCTCTGCATGCCTGTGGTATGCTGTAACATGAGGGTCGGCTTGTTGGGGTATCTGTTCCTGCCCAGTACCCCACAGCCGGCAAGTCCCAGAGAAAATCAACCACACAGAGATCTCTATAAGTTATAAAGCTGATTGGCCCATTAGGTCAGGCTACTTATTAGCTCTTATAACTTATGTTGCCCCATTATCCTTATCTATGTTAGCCACACAACTCAGTACCTTTTCCAGTGGGGCAGTTTACATCTTTCCTCTCCGGTGGTCTGGGCAGAACTGCGGAGGGAGCTTCCTGCTGCCAGAATACTCCCAGTCTCTTTGCTCCACCTCTACTTCCTGTCTGGCTTTCCCGCCTATACTGCCTGCCTGGCCAATCAGCATTTTATTAAAATACATGATTGACAGAGTACAGATAATTCTCCCACGCCAGTATGCAAGCGTGCATGCAGGCAAAACATCTGTATATGTAAAGTAGAAATAAAGAAATAATATCTTTTTTCTTTATTGATTTTATTGAGGTATGCATTTTTCTCTGCTCCCCTTTCTACCTCTCCCCTCTTCTTCAACCCTCTCCCATGGTGCCCATGCTCCCAATTTACTCGGGAGATCTTGTCTTTTTCTACTTCCCATGTAGATTAGATCTCTGTGTGTGTCTCTTAGGGTCCTCATTGTTGTCTAGGTTCTCTGGGATTATGAACTGTAGGCTGGTTTTCTTTGTTTTATGTCTAAAAACCACTTATGAGTGAGTACATATGATAATTGTCTTTCTGGGTCTGGGTGACCTCATTCAATATGATGTTTTCTAGCTCCATCCAAAGAAATAATATCTTAATATCTCTTACTGTCTATCTGTCTGTTCCTTCTACATTACTACTCTCCTATTTTTTTATTTTTATTTTTATTTATTTGTTTGTTTTTTGGAGACCAGGTTTTTCTGTGTTGATTTGGAGTCTGTCCTGGAACTAGCTCTGTAGACCAGGCTGGCCTTGAACTTGCAGAGATCTGCCTGCCCTCCAGAGTGTTGGGAATACAGGCGTGCGCCACCCCCACCGGGTACCTATTCTATTTCTTAAAATAAATAAGCAGAAAGTAGAAAAGTCATTGAAAAGTGTTTCCTTGTGGGAGCAGGGGAGGGAAACGTGAAAAGTCCAGACAGTTACCCAATCATAACCATCAATACTTCCTGGAGAAAATCAGAATGTTGCATAAGCTACTTTTTGGGGGGGGGTCATGGATACGTGCATTTGTGACTGCATGTCTGCATGGGTGTGTGTGCATGTGTATGTGTAGCTGTGCATGTGTGTGTGTGTGCAGGTATGCATGCATGTGTGTGTATGCGTGTGCACCTGTGTGTAGAGGCCAGAGGTTCATATAGGTGTCTTCTTTAACTGCTTCTCACATATATTGAGACGGTGTCTCTCACCTAAGCCCATACTTGGATCTGGCTCACTTAGCTAGCTGGCCAACTAGCCTGCTCCAGGGTTGCCCTTACTCTTTTTCCCCAGTGCTGTGATTACAGGTGAGCCATCACATCTGCCTGGTGCTTATACGGGTTCCGGGGAATCCAAATGCCAGGCCTCCTGTTTGTTCAGCAAGAGTTCCCTACCAGGCCATTTCCCCAGCCCTGTACAAGCTACGCTCCAAGATACCTTGATTGTTCCTTCCGTAATTATAGCAGAGAGTTGTCATATTTTTGCGATAGCGTTTTTGTGCACTAAGAAAGTCGGAACTGTGAGGCTGCAATTGGTTTTGAAATAGGTGTCGTCACTCCGGTCAGGGAGAGCAGCGCACACGCGCCCCAGAACTTGGCAAACCTCAAGAAGACGCACTTCCACCAGGTCTTGATAAGGTACTTCCAGCGGCAAACCGTCTTCTGGAGAGCGTATCAGGAGTTGCCGTGGCACATGAAGATGAGCGGCTCTTGGGAAGGCCTGTGCCACTTTGTCACCAGCCCCGGGTAAGTCCTGCCGGCTTTAGGTGGGATGCTGACGTCGCTTTAGCAACATGGCTTCCCTGTGCAAAGTGTTCATTTATTCATGTGTGGGACCTGCGTGTGGAATCCACTTCCGTGGTGGGTAGATCCCCCAGGATGTTCTATTTGACCTGTCCGACACTACTCATTCTCCTCCTGTTGCCTTTCTCTCTATGGAATGCCTGAAAGAACACACACAGCTGGACAGGATCGAAGGCGATCCATGCTGGTGGCTGGCGGGCCATGCTGGTGGCTGGCGGGCCATGCTGGTGGCTGATGGGCCATGCTGGTGGCCGGATTCTTGTCTTTGCTTTTCTTGGCTGTCTTTTCTCCCTTCCTTTCCCAACTTCCCTCCCGCGTCCTTATGCATTAACTCAGTTTATTGAGGTCTCACCTGCCTCTGGCCTCTGGCCCTGTTCTAGCTCTCGACTAAGACACAGCACCAAGCCCTTCTCACTTTCCACACATTGCAGGAGGGCTAAGATGTGGAGCCAGACAGTTACCATACTCAGGGGACCATGCTTCATGTGAAACTGCAAGCACCCGAGTTGGAGGCACCCCCCTCGTCTGGGAGGTAGAGCCAGGGAGCCCTCCCAGAGGAGAGGTATTGTGGATAGCTGGGGAAAATTGACTCTCACTACGGAAGAGTAAAAGGCTCGTAATTATCTGATGACAGCCAAAGCTTCAAGAAGTGGATGGGACTGGCTTTTCTACAAGGCTCTGGGGATAGTAAGGGAAGGAGGGGAGAAAGGATGTAAGGGCCAAAGACGGAGACATGGGTAGCCAGAACACATCTGGGCGTGATGTAGCCATTGTACTTAAACACTCACTGCACCTGTGGTTATCTGTACAAGACTGGGGCCAACAACATTTCTTCATAAATTGGGGGTGATGGTGGTGTTGTCTCTGTCTTCCCTCAGGCTTTCGGCAGTCAATGGTTGTTGGGGAGGGATGCCATTTTTTTTCCAGTGGTACAGTCATTGATAAGGTGCCCATGCTCCTGCCACTTGTGCTTATGCAAGCAACCCTATTTAAACTTTGTGGGACACACACACATGCATGCACGTGCACACACGCATATACAGGTGCTTGTGTGTCATGGGATATAGTTCAGTTGGTGATGTGGATTCCCCTCTGTATGCTGTGAATATGTCTTATTATCATTTGTTAATAAAGAAACTGCTTTGACCTTGCAGCAGGGCAGAATAGAGATGGGGGGACTAAACTGAATGCTGGGAGAAAGGAGGCGGAGTCAGTGAAAAGCCATGTAGCCACTGCAGGAGACAGATGTCTCTAGAAGCTTGCCTGTAGGCCACGACCTCATGGTGATGCACAGATTAATAGAGATGGGTTAACTCACAATATAAGAGCTAGCCTATAAGAAACCTGAGCTAATAAGCCAAGAAGTGTTGTAATTAATACAGTACGGTGTGATTATTTCGGGTCTGGGTGGCTGGGAAACAAACAAACAGCCTCTACCAACAAATTGGTAGAATGCTTGCCTAGCTAGGACTCCTGTCATACACAAAGTCCTGTGTTTGGCTGCTTAAACTGGCCATGGTGGCACATGTATGTAATCCCAGCATTTGGGAGATCGAGGCAGGAAGTTCAGAAGTTCAATGCCCTTCTTGGTCTGGAATACATGAGATCCTGCTGGGGTTGGGGGGGCGGTTATGGCTAGGCTAGTGAAAGATGGGAAGTAAAGAATAGCTCCCTTCAAGGACGAGCTCTAAAATGATCATGTGTGTCACAAGCATCACAGATTTCATATCGAAAATCCACAACCCGAGTTTGTGGACCAGACTGCACCTTGTCCACTACTGGGATGTGCTGCTGGAAGCCGGCTGTGACGTGTCTGAGGCTTTCCTGCTCTCCGTTGCCAAGATAGAAGCAGAACAGTACCAGAAAATAAAGAAGCGACCCATGCTCTCAGGTAGGCCAGCCATAGTGCAGCTGACCCACGCTCTCAGGTACACTAGCAATGGTGCTTCTGACCCACGCTCTCAGGTACACTAGCAACAGTGCAGCTGACCCATGCTTAGGTGCAGCTGACCCACGCTCTCAGGTATGCTAGCAATGGTGCTTCTGACCCATACTCTCAGGTGCAGCTGACCCACGCTCTCAGGTACGCTAGCAATGGTGCTTCTGACCCACACTCTCAGGTGCTTCTGACCCACACTCTCAGGTGCAGCTGACCCACACTCTCAGGTACGCTAGCAATGGTGCTTCTGACCCACACTCTCAGGTGCTTCTGACCCACGCTCTCAGGTACACTAGCAACAGTGCAGCTGACCCACGCTTAGGTGCAGCTGACCCACGCTCTCAGGTACGCCAGCAACATGGCTGTTGAGTCTCTTATTCTGGGATGGAAAATGTCCCAAAGTCAGTGCTCTCTCATTTCCTGCCATGAGCCCCGCTCCATTGGCCTGTCTGACTCCTCCTTCTCCTCACAGTTTAAGACCAGGGCTTCAGTAAAGAAGGAGTCGGATAAGGTGCTAATGTTGAGGGTTGGGGGAGGAATTTTATAAGCTCAGGGATCTTAACTTTTTCCTTTTTCCTGAAAAAAAAACAAATCATTCCAAAACACAAATTTTAACAATACAGGGATTGCGCTGGTCTTAGGTTTTCCGTTGCTGTAAAGAGACACATGACCAATGCAACTTTTATGAGGAAAACATTTCCCTGGGGTGACTGGCTTACAGTTTCAGAGGTTTAGTCCTTTCTAGTCATGGTGGGGAGCGTGGCCGTGTGCAGGCAGTTATGGGGTTCACATCTTGATCAAACGGCAACAGGAAGTGGGCTCACACAACGGATGGTATCTTGAGCATAGGAAACCTCAAAGCCCACCCTACAGCAACACACTTCCTCCCACAATGCCACACCTCCTAATAGTGCCACTGCCTGTGAGTTTATGGGGGCCAATGACATTCTGACTACCACAGAGCTATGTAATTGTTTAGCTTTTAACATTTATACAAGGTTGTACAGTCCATTATAGACATTTATGGCATCATTTAAAGTATTTGCCAATATTCGTAATAAAATCTGCTGGTGTCTTGAACAAGAAATTGAAGCCAGATATGCTGGTTTGTGTCTATGACCCCAGCAATTTGGAGGGAAAGGTAGGGGATTGTGACTTCAAAGCTTACCTGGGCTACGGAGTGAGATGTCGTCTCCAAAAGCCCAAAAGAACTTGTCACAAATCAGTCCCCACCCCCTAAAAAGGCATGAGAGATGCAGCTGTGGAGCCCTGACTAGGCACAGGGGGTTTGCTCCTTCCCAGGGTGCTTCAGGCAGATTTGCTTTCCTTCCTTTTCTAGTCCTGGAATGCAACCTCTCTCAGGTGACTGTCACCGACAAATGCCGGATGATTCTCTTCATCGGGAGCTTCCTGAAGCTCATGGGCAAGGTCAGTGAGGCAGAGAAGCTGTTCCTGAACGTGGAGGACATGCTACAGCAGGTAGAGTGAGCATTAGCTCCCTCGAGCTTCATCCCTTTGGCGGGCTTTCCAGAACCATCGACCTTTGTTCCTTTATAACTTTATAACACACTGTCCACGTAGGGGAGAGTCCGTGGGTTTGTTCACCAAGGAGGAGGTTACAGTTTCCACCCATACCTCAGCTGTGCATCCCTAACCCCAAGCTCCACTAAATAGGACTCCTTCCAGAATCCCCCCCCCCCAGATGTCTCTGTGTGAGGAAATGGGATCACAGTGGCCTGAGACTTGTCGCTCTCCCAGAGATGTGGGGGGAAGTCTGATTGTTTCTTGATTTTGTTTATTCTGAACCATGAACTTTTGGCTTTACTGAATGTAATGAAAGAGGTCCTCATAACGTCCCCTGTGAAGTGACAAGGAGGTCAGGGCTGACAACAGATGCCCCTGGCCTGGCAAGTGAGTCTGTGATAGCCTCTCATGGCAAGGGCACGAGAGGGACTGGCGTGCAGGACGAGACAAGTTTTCGGAACGCCATGGGGAAGCTGCACACACATCGGCCCGTCTGAGAAGCTTCAAGGAGGAAGAGAAAAAGTTAGAAGAGAAGGAGGTTCAGGTCAAACTCGATCCAGAGTGGGCGTGTGTTTGTGGGGCAGGAAATGAACCTAGCAGAGGTACGGGTTGTGCAGCAGCCTCGGAGGGGGCTGTAGTGTGGGACAGATGTGCAGACTGAAGCCAGAGGCAGGTCCTGCGGAAGGAGCTTAGTCTTGTCTGCCTTCAGGGGAGGCCTGGGAGAGGGAAATGAGTGAAACCACGGTTAATTTGAAATTTGAAAGAAGAGGCTGCGGCCCGTGAGGGTAAAGGCTCTTGCAGCCAAGCCTGATGACCTGAGTTCAGTCCCCGAGACTCCCATGATGGAAGAGAGAACTGTCTCCTGCAAGGCAAGCTGCCGTCTGACCACCCATGTACGTCTTGGTGCACACACGTGCATGCATGTATATGTGCACATACACGCAAATGTAATACGATATATTTTTTTTTTGGTTTGTTTTTTGAGACAAGGTCTCTCTCTGTAGTCCTAACTGTCCCGTAAGTCACCATGTAGTCCAGCCCAGCCTTGGATTCGCAGAGATGTGCCTGCCTCTGCCTCCCAAGTGATGGGAATAAAGGCATGTGCCTCTATGCCTGACAATAAGATTACCTTTTAAACGGAGGGGCCGGAGAGATGGCTTAGTAGCTAAGAGTGCTCACTGCTCTTTCAGAGGACTGGGGTTTGTTTGGTTCCCAGCACCCATGTCTTGTGGCTCACAGCCACCTGTAACTCTAGTTCCAGGGGATCTGACACCCCCTTCTAGCTTCCATGGGCACCTGTACATATATGTCATATTTCACACAGATGCGTCACATAAGCATAAATATAAGTCTTTAAACAAAGGAAGAGGCAAAATGATGCGCTGTAGAAAGGAGCTGCAGGCAGGCCTGCTTTTCATCCTGCCCGGCTCCCGCACGGCTAGCTTAGTCCCAGAAATAACAACACACAAATTGTATTCATTTAAGCACTGCCTGGCCCATTATCTCTAGAGAGTTAGTTACTGACTAACTCTCATATCTTGATATTAATCCATTTCTAATAATCTCGTGGTAGCACCACGAGGTGTGGCTTACCGGGAAAGATTCAGCATGTCTGACCTGGTGGCTGGCTCCATGGCGTCTGGCTCATAGCCCTCTTCCCAGCATTCTATTCTGTTTACTCTGCCTACCTAATTTTCTGTCCTATCAAAGGGCTGAGGCAGTCTCTTTATTGACCAATGAAAATAACACAATAGACAGATAACCCTCCTCCATCATTTCCCCTTTTTCTGTTTAAACAAAAAAGAAAGGCTTTCATTTTAACATAGTAAAATTACATATAACAACACAGTTATCAAGCAAGAATTACAGTCACGATATTTATAACTATATCTTTATCATAATAATGGAAAACTATAACTATGACTATCCATTCTTCAACTCCATCAAAGACTCCAGAAGAATATAATATTACCTGAGTAAACAAGAAGTAAGCAACTTCCAAAACTCTAGAAATGACAGAGACATCTCGCTGCCTGGACAGTCACCCTAAGTTCCTCTGTATCGTTGGGGCACCCTCTTTGGCCTTCAGGCCCATAATATCCAGAGATATTTCCATGAAGCAGGAAATTTCAAAGGCAGTTCAGTCACTATCTGCTGTGTCCTGCAGAATGTCTCGCAGACTCTTTCATGAATCAGGAACCCCGAAAGATCATCTCACCTTTAGGCAAGTTCAGCAGTCCTCTCTCTGTGGGTTCTCTGTGTCCAGTTTATATAGCAGTCCAGGCAAGAGCAGTTTCTTGCCCAAAATGGCTATCAAACTCCATAAGGAGCATCTTCAATGCCCATCTTTCTCTTGAAGTAGATTGGTGCTGCCAGGAGCAGACGTGTCTCATGTCATGAAAAGCCCTAAGTTATTAAAACATTAAATGCCATGTTCTGTAGTCTTTGAAAGATGTGAATGTCTATCTGAAATATATCTATGCACTTCTAGAAAATCAGACTAACATTACTTCAAGCTTGACTATTATCGATGATTATCCATTAACAACCTATATTTTTAATTATACATTGCATTTTTAAATGAACTACACAATCAAAATCAGAAATATATACACATATAACAAAATTGACCTTAAAATCCATACCAATGCAAATTATTCATATCTATATCATATCCCCCTTTAAATGTAAAAGAACATTTATAAGCAATATTTGGGAATATGGACGTAGTTATTTCTCTCCAAACTTCTTCCTGCTGTATAGGGGCGCTGTTAATCAGGTCTTTCATGGTATAACCTGTCTGCCAGGTTCATCTCAGTTGGCAGTTGAGTGAAGTAATTTCTTGAGGGTGTTCACAGCAACCTTTCAGGAGGACGTGGTCTATCATACCATATTGGGATAGAAGCAATCCACAGGGTCTCATCCTCTGTGAAAACAAAAGAAGGACCTCCTTTCCAAAGCATCATATTCTTAGACCCAAATTCTGAAGTCAAGGTATTTTCAAAATATCTATCTTGGATTAGTTCAGCGGCATTTATAAACAAAAGTCTTTTATCAGCTGTTGCTCCTTCCTCAGCATTCAAACAATTTAAAGAGAGCATAATAGCATACAGTATCAAGATTTTCTGTGTATTTTCCATCTTTATGCAGCTTTATTTTTAACCTCTATTTTTTTTATTTTTACTTTTACTTTTTGACATAGGTTCTCTGTATATCTTTGTCCTGGAATAACTCTGTAGACCAGGCTCTCCTTGAACTCACAGAGATCTGTCTGTCTCTGCTCCCCAGTGCTGGGATTAAAGGCATGTGCTACCACACCTTGAACTCAGAGATCCTTCTGTCTCTGCCTCCCAGGCATTGGGATTAAAGGTGTGTACTACCACACCTTGAGGTCACAGAGGTCAATCTACCTCTGCTTCCCAAGTGTTGGGATTAAAGGTATGTACCACCACATCCAACTACTTTCTTTCTTCCTCTTTTACCCTAAGAACTTTAACCTTTAGCCTGCATATATTTTTAACACATAGTAAACCATTTAGAGGTTTTCTTTGTCTTTGAACCTCTCTTTACTGTATCTCTCTCTCTTTTTTATGGCCACATGAGTTTAAAACCGTGGCTTTGACGGTTAGACCCAGTCCATTTTTTAGCTTTCCAGACTCATATTAGAGGTACCATTGGAGCCTTTTACTGCCACAACTCTATGGCGTTTCAAGGTCCCTGCCAGCAAACAAGCTGGAGCATTCTGCTCACAGACCACACTCAGTCGGACTGCCTGCCTGAAAGAGTCAGAGTTTGCCCTGGCAGGACGGCCCAGAAAGACGGCATTTTAAAACAGCGCAGCGTTTTTCCTGCTACGACTGAAAACCGAAAAGCATGCGTTCAGCTTTTCATCAATACCATTTAAGTGTTTCGCAGCAGGACCTCTTAATGAGCTACAAAGTTTTGCAGCTAAAGCTGAGTCAGGAAGCCTCTCTTAAATGAGAGCATTGCTTGCCTCTAGCAAGCAGAACAGACCCGAGAAATTGCTGCCACCAAGAAAACATGCTTTACTCTATTCTTTCCCAAACTTTCTTAAGCTTTCTGTGGATTCAGTTATCCACGTTGGCGCCATCTGTAGTGAGGAGCTGCAGGCAGGCCTGCTTTTCATCCTGCCCGGCTCCCGCACGGCTAGCTTAGTCCCAGAAATAACAACACACAAATTGTATTCATTTAAGCACTGCCTGGCCCATTATCTCTAGAGAGTTAGTTACTGACTAACTCTCATATCTTGATATTAATCCATTTCTAATAATCTCGTGGTAGCACCACGAGGTGTGGCTTACCGGGAAAGATTCAGCATGTCTGACCTGGTGGCTGGCTCCATGGCGTCTGGCTCATAGCCCTCTTCCCAGCATTCTATTCTGTTTACTCTGCCTACCTAATTTTCTGTCCTATCAAAGGGCTGAGGCAGTCTCTTTATTGACCAATGAAAATAACACAATAGACAGATAACCCTCCTCCATCAATGCGCAGCACAGACTGATGTCCCCAGAGCTGCCCTGCCTCTGCTGGAGTAACCGGGGCCTGTGTGGAAGCCGATTACACCCCAGGCTTCCTGAAGTTGAGTGCCGCTGACCACCCCAGCTGGGTATGAGGTCCTGTGGGACGTGGTTTCTCAAAGACCAGGTGGGTAAGGATTCGGCGGTGACAAACAGAAACAAACACAGAGGCAGTTTGAATCTGAGTGTATTTTGCAGCTCTCAAACAAGGGTTTTTATACAAGAAGAATAGGTATTACAATTCTTAAAAGATGCGTTCAGTTAAGCAGTCACAAAGAACAATTATCATAATCACCTGGCACGGGAAGGCACAAAATCAATCAGGTATCACATTTCCTAGACGGTGGGTTCAAAGAATCAATTACAAACAGAACATCGTAATCACCAAACAGAACAAGATGCAAAAAATTACTTATA